AAAACTCACCATGGGACTGGAGAGATGGCTCACACCTAAGAGTGCACAAACTGCTCTAGCAGAGGACACAAGTTCAGTAATCAGTAACCACATGGCAGCTCACAAGCATTTGTAACTCAGTTTCAAGAGATCCAACGCCTTCTTCGGGCCTTAGAGAGCACCAGGCACAGGCATTGTGCATAGACATACATACAGGAACTCTCACATACACATAAAATGAAAATAAATATCCATGGGCAGGAGCAATAGTTCAGCCATTAAGAAGAGTACATCCTGCTCTTGCAGAGGACCTGAGCTCAGTTCCCAAGACCCATATCCAGTGACTCATAATAGCATGTTATCTACAATTCCAGGGAGGGCCAACATTTCTGACTTCTACATGCACCAGCACTTATTTTTACAGGTTCACACACATCATACATAATTTAAAAGAGCAAATCACAGTTTTGTTTCTTTATTTTGCTTTGGTTGATAAGATGGGGTTTCTCTATGTAGCTTTGTAGACCAGACTCACAAAGATTCAGCAGCCTCTGCCTCCTGAGTGCTGGGATTAAACGTGTACACCATCCATGCCCAGCATAATAAATCATTTTTTAAAACTAGATAAAATCTACAATGGTGGAAAACATCTGTTCCAAGCACTTGGGAAGTGACAGCAGAAAGATCAGGAGTTAAAAGTCACAGCTGACTGTAATCAGGGTCAAGCCAGCATGGACTACATGAAACAGTCTCGAACAAAATAAAACACATCTTGGTTAACATAAGTTGTGTATTTCCTAAAGTAAATTCCCAACCAACAGCACTGTAAGTTAAGACAAAACAAAGTTAATCTTATACATGGCATTTTTTTCACAAAGTATATTATGGCCTTCTCACCATCAAAAACACGTGACAGCACTCAAGCACATGCTTGGGTTCTATGTGAACAGGTACCTCACCAAATAAACAATTCTAAAAAGAAGAGGTAGTCAGAGAAGACAATTGTTTACAGAATGAGAACTGAAAGAAATTGCTGTGTTAGCCCTCAACCAGGAGTTCTCACACTGGGCCTCTCAGAATCTTCATCATTCTCAGTTTACAAATGGGGGAAAAAAAAACAGGCTTTAAGGTTACAAACAAATTTAACAATGGACTTTACATCGCACACACACATACATAAATACATGCACACTTAATGTATGAAGGAATAGGACAGACAAGGGACTTCCAAAGGGCAATAAAAGTCAAAGTGTGCTTGGTTTTATAATGAAAACTCTAAACTATAATTCTTATTAGGAAATCTGCAATTGCAAGATTGGTATCACAAGGGTCTTTTCTCTGCCTTCTCTGGACATGTCAGGGCAATGTCTCATATTGCCATCAATATTTAAATACACTGAGTACAATTTTATTTACTTATTTTCATTTTACATATTAATCCCAGTTCCCCCTTCCTCCCTCCCTGTTTCCCTCTGTTCATACCCCCATGCCCCCCGACCACACTCCTCTCCCACCCCCCCACTCCACATGTAGGGTGATGTCTTCCAGGAGGGGTCATCTAAATCTGACACATCATTTGGAGTAGTGACTAGGCCTTCTCTCCTGTCTCTAAGTTAAGGGAGTATCCCTCCATGGGGGATGTGCACCCAAAGTCCTTTTGTGCACCAGGTACATATCCTGTTTCCACTGTCAAGGTCCCATAGACTTCCCAGGCCTTCCGGCAGAGACCCATGTTTAGGGAGTCTGAGTCAGTCCAATGCTGGAATCCCAGCTATCAGTCTGGGGGCCTAGTAGCTCCTCCTTTTTTCAGGTTGGCTGTCTCAATGTATATTTGTAGCCTGGTCTTGTCTTCTCTCTCTGCTTCTGAATTCCTGTTTTGCTCAGTGGTTACTTGTGGGTGCCTGCTTCTGTTTCCATCTGCTGCTAGATGATAGCTCTATGATGGTGGATAAGACAGTCCTCAATCTCATTATCAGGGAAGGGCATTTATGGTAGCCCTTCCATTGTTGCTCAAATTGTTACTTGCAGTGAGACTTGAAGGTCTCTGGATATTTCTCTAGGTTCATTTTTCTCTTCAAACATATAATTGCTCCCTCTATTATGTTCCCTCTCTCTTCTCATCTATTCCTCCCCCTGACTCAATCTTCCTAGGCCCACATGCTTTCCTCTCCTCCCCTTCTCTTCCTCCTAGCTCCCTCTCCACTCACTGCCCCACCACTCCCCATATGCTCAGGAGATCTTGTCCCTTTCCCCTTCTGTGAGGGAACTTATATGAATCTCTTAGAATCCTCTTTGCATCTTAATTTCTTTGGCAGTGTTAATTATAGGCTGGTGATCCTTTGCTCAGTCTAAAATACATATATGATTGAGTACATACAATTTTATTCTTTTTGTGACTGGGTTACCTCATTCAGGATAGTTTCTTGAAGGTCCATTCACTTTACTGCAAATTTCAAGATTCTATTCTTTTCTTTTCCGGCAGAGTAGTATTCCATTGTGTAAATGTGCTAAATCTTCTTTATCCATTCTTCAGTTGAAGGGCATGTTGGTTGCTTCCAGATTCTTGTGATTACAAACCATGCTTCCATGAACATAGTAGAACAGAAATCTGTGTTGCATGGATGTGGATCAGTTGGGTATATGCCTAAGATGGCGATTGCCGGGGCCTGTGGTAGACTGATTCCCATTTTCCTGAGGAACCGCCTTAATGATCTCCAAAATAACTGTACAACTTTGCACTCTCACCAACAGTGGAGGAGTGTTCCCCTTTCTCCACATCCTGTCCAGCATAAGTTCTTCTTGGTGTTTCTAATTTTAGCCAATCTGGCAGCAGTAAGATGGTATCTCGAAGTTCCTTTATTTGCATTTCCCTGATAGCTAAGGACTGTGAGTACATTCTTTAGTGCCCTTCAGCCTTTTAAATTTCCTCTATTGAGGGTTCTCTATTAAGGTCTGGACCCCATTTTTAATAGGGTTATTTGGTATTTTGTTGACTAGTTTCTTGAGTTCTTTGTATATTTTGGAGATCAGCCCTCTGTCAGATGTAGGATCGGTGAAGATATTTTCCCAGTCTGTGGGCTGCCGTTTGGTCTTGTCAACTGTGTCCTTTGCCTTATAGAAGCTTCTCAGTTGGGGAGGTCCCGTTTATTAATTGTACATCTCAGTGTCTGTGCTACTAGAGTTATGTTCAGGAAGCAGTCTTCTGTACCAGTTTGTTCAAGGGTACTTCCCACTTTCTCTTCTATGAGGTTCTACGAGTTTCAGTGTGGGAGGACATATGATGAGGTCTTTGATCCACTTGGACTTGAGTTTTGTGGATGGTGATAGACATGGGTCTATCTGCAGTCTTTTACCCACCATCATCCAGTTGTGCTAGCACCATTTGTTGAAGATGTTTTCCTCCTCACGGTATATACTTTCAGCTGTTTTGTCCTAAATCAGGTGTCCGTAGCTGTGTGGGTTAATGGCAGAATATTTGATTTAATTTCATTGGTGACCTTGTCTATTTTTGTGCCAATACCAGGCTGTTTTCAGGACTATAGGTCTGTTGTAGAGCTTAAAGTTGAGGATGGTGATGCCTCCTGGAGTTTCTTTATTGTACAGGATTGTTTTAGCTATCCTGATTTTATTTCTTTTTCTGTATAAAGTTGATTATTATCTTTTCAAGGATATTGAAGAATTGATTGAGCACAAATATTGATTGGAAACCCACTATTTTCCTTTCAGTTTAGACACTGGGAATATAAATAAAAGTACCATACTTCTTACAGAGTTTAAATTAATGTGAAGCGGAGGACATGATGTTTAGAGAACAAAACAAGATGTGACGAGAAATAACGGAACAAAATAAGAGATATTGGTTTAGTTAGGGTACCGAGAAAGCCTTCTTTAAGATGACAGCGGGACCCCACATCTGAATGAAACAAAGATTCAAAAATGCAAGCACATAGAACACCACATAGTGAAAAAAATAAAAAGAAGGAAAGAAAAAGCTTGAAAGATGAAAGACCTTAACATACAGATGTGCTGGGCACACCAAAAATGAAGAAAGCCAATGGAAATAGATAGCAACAAAGAAAAGAGACATAGAATAGTCTATAGCTTCTCACAAGGTGGGTATGGTAAACTTGGTTCTGAGAATCTTGTTTTAAGTCTGTTTAAAACATTTGAGGGGGGTGCAGTAAAGACTGTGACAGTATGCACAATTTATGTTTTAGGAGTTATTCTGAGTTTACAGAGAAAAGACAGTGTAGGAAGATATAAAGACATTCATAGGGCTACTGTAATGAACCAACTACTGCTAATGATGGCTTTAACCAGAGTATTGGTAGATGATAAAAAGCCATCAGATTAAAGGTTAAGAAATTTGACAGAATTTGATGATAAGACAAACAAATATGGGACACAAAAGGGGCACTGAAGGATGACTAGCCGCTGCCCTGTTCACAAATACAATGATACTGCCATTTAGTAACTACAACAAAGAATATTAAGCAAGACTAACTTGCGCAGAAGAAAGGAGTCAGTTTTATATACAATAGGAAGTTCCATCCAAAGACACCGCTCAGATTCCTGGACCCTGTATGTCAGCATGAGTTTAAGGCAATAATCTGATAAATGTTACCAGATACTGAGAAAGGTAGCTTGGGAATTCCAACATATTTACATTTTGTTCATGAAGAAAATCGTCCAAGACAAAATAACATTCTTAAAAATGAATGATGTAGCCAGGTGATGTAGGGCACTCCTTTAAAACTAGCAGTCAGGAAGCAAAGGCAGGTGGATCTCTCTTAGTTCAAGGCCAGCCTGGTCTACAGAGTGAGTTCCAGGATAGGCTGCAAAGCTACACAGACAAATCCTGTCTTGAAAACACAAACACCAAATTAAAAAAAAAAGAAACAACATGAATGATTCTATGTAATTGATAACATCCAATAATCAATGTGTAAAGCCTCTAATACATAACATGCATTTAAAGACATTTCACTTGCCATTCACTGGAGTTACCAAACACCTCTCACCTGTGAAGCATCCTTTCATTGTCTTGGTACAGCTCCCTCATCACTGTGATTTTCCTTTGAAGCTGTTTCTCGATTTCAAGTTGTGTATTACCTGACTGCAAAGACACTTGTTCAGACTTGAGACTTCGCATATGCTCTAGACAAAGGTACAAAATCATAAAGAAACTAAAGGAATTAAAGAAATTCTTCAGTTCTTAATAAAGAAATTAAAGGAATTTCATACAATTAAAAACATATTAAAAATATTAAGGATACACAAAGTTGGTCAGATCACTGTGACTTCAAAACCCACCTACTTTATAAAGATACACAGAGAAGCCTGTCTTGAAAACAAAAATCCTTAATCACATGCCTAGTGTTTTTTAAAATGTATATGGAATCACTCAGACAATATACAATTAAAAATATGTCTTAAATTTTTAGTGGCTAGAGATGGTAAGGGGAGTGTTTGTTTTTCCAAAGGTCCTGAGTTCAGATCTCAGAAACTACATGGTGGCTCCCACAATCTGTAATGGGGTCTGGTGCCCTCATCTGGCTTGCAGGTGTGCATCCAGTCAGAACATTGTATACATAATAAATAAATAAATCTTAAAGAAAAAAAGATAATTGACAAGATTGGACATGCCCAGGGACATACAGCTATAGACAATTACTATACACAACAGTTCAGTTACTAGTACCATAATAAATCAGTCTTTTTTTTAGTCTAAATTGTTCATGTGCTGTCATTCAAACTAGCTGATAATAAGTGCTCATTTCCACTTTCCTGAGAGACCAAGACTCAAACAAAATGAAGACTGGAAAGAATAATGACTTTTACATTATTCCAACTGCTATACTACTGAATCACCCACAAAATTGGGGAGATAGCTCAGTCAGTAAGGTACTGGCTAAGCAAACATGAGGACCAAAGTTTGGGTCATGAGCACCCATATAAGACCTGTCTGAGTGCTGAAAAGGGAAAAAACAAGATCCCTAGGGCTTACTGAGCAGCACAATCCAGGTTTAATGACAGCTTTCTCAATGAATAAGGGGGAAAGCAATTGAAGGAAAGCCTGAATATCTACCTTTGTCCTCTATATACATATGAATACAGACACACACAAAATGGATTAACAATTATAAGTGATTGTGAATTCTGTATGAACTAGCACACCATTATTTTTACATATCTCACTTTTCTTTCATTATGATTAATACAACTCTACACAGCTCTAATATTAAAATGAGAACCTCAACTCTGACCTGCTCTAAGGTATCATTCCCAAAACATATGTGAACCAATCGAATACAAGAAAAAAATGCACTATACTTCAAAAGGGCAGTTTCAAAATCATAACAAGGAAAAGTTTAGTAACTATGTGCAATGGGATGTTATTATTCTAAAATGCAAGCTAAATAAACATATGGACCAAAAGAAAAGTTTGTGTCGATACAGTAATAGCAAAGGGAACATGTACAGGAAATCATGAATAGTTGACTTCTGCAAAAATTGTAAAGCTATATCAGAAAAAAAAATGCCCATCCATGCTGTCTGCCAGATCTAACAAGTCACTTATCAAGAAATCAATGGTCAATACAAGCTGTAATATAATTGAATCATACTAATGCAAAGAAGCCTTGAAAAACAACACAAATTATTTTACCATTATACACTCAAGCTCTTTTTTCTAGTGTCTTACTTTATCTCATTTTAAAACTTTTAAAACTAAGTGTTTGGGAGACGTGGAGGGCAGGGGCTCAGAGGGAAGGGGACTGGGAAAAAGTATAGCTCAATTCAAAAAACGTTGTGTGTGTGTGTGTGTGTGTGTGTGTGTGTGTGTGTGTGTGTGTGTGTGTGTGTTCACCTCCGCCTGCATGCCCAGGTGGGCAAAGGTCAGAGGACAACTAGCAGGGGTCTGTTCTCTCCTTCCACTGGAGACTGAATTCAGACCATCAGGCTCAGAAGAAGGGGCTTTTATGCACTGAACCCAGACACTATAATAGGGCACTGTACAGGCCAGGTGCAGTAATTTTAAGCCTATATAAAGCAGACATGTGAGAAGCTGAGGTAGAAATGTGAGGACTTCAAGAAGCCAGGGGTTACATAGAAACATGCATTTAAAGGAAGAACCAAAAAGGCCAGAATCTATGGGAGATGAGAGATGGTTAGAGAAAAATGCTCCCATATGTTAAAAATTAATTATTGAAAAATTTTATGATGCATTAAGGAAAGAATGTTGGGGCTGGAGACATGGCTCAGCCGTTAAGAGCAATGAAGGCTCTTCCACAGAACCTTGGCTCAATTCCAATCACCCACAGGGCAGCTCAAAACTGTCTGTAGCTCCAGTTCCAGGGGATCTGACACTCTCACACAGACATATATGTGAGCAAACTCCCAATAAAGTAAATAAATAAAAAACATTAAATAATTTTTAAAAACACCATGGAAAAAGAAAAGGTGGATTTGGAGGAACGCTCTACACACACAAGAGTTTCCAATATTATTTGGTGGGGGGGGGATTAAGACTGGCCAAGAGAAGGAGTAAACAATGGAATAACTGGGGAACTAATTGCTTGCTACACTGGTACTTCCTACTAAGATACATGTACGTTAATGTATGCCTCGATAAAGCTGCCTTGAAAACAGAGTGCCTATTCCTCTCTGTATCTTCCACACTGTTACTACTATTCTTCTCAGATAGCAGCATTTTTTTTTAATTAGACTGGTGTTTTTTCAGGTCTAATAACAATACAATTACTATAATCAGTGAGTAGGGCAATTTAATCCAATGGTTCAATCTTTTTTAAGCATTTTGCTCATTAAAAGTCTTAAAGGCCTTTGAGACCCTTTTGGTCTTTTTCTCATCAGATCTCAACCCTGGTCTTGAAGGTTATAAAGAAGATAAAGTACACTGAAGCTGGCCTCACAACGATGAAGTCTGGTATAGAGCATAGGTCCAGATTCAAATGGTTCTGGCTATCGTTTGGAAGACAGAATAAGTTAAGAATGAAAAGGAAGAAATGTGAAGTTCAGGGCAGCCGTGGCAATGGTTGACTACATATTGACGTTTCTTGTATTCATTGAGAGGATTATTTTGTTGATGTTGATTTCTGGTATGTTTATATTCAGCTGTGTAATCAGTGAAGGGGCTTTGCCTGTGATCATAGGTGTAGAGTTAGAAACAGGCAGGGAAAGCATCAGGTAGGTAAAAATGAAGCTCTACAAGCAGAAGCTTTTGTCTTATGTTGCATCATTTAAGCAAGTGTAACAGGATCAATAAAGCCTGTTTTGAAAAGAAAATATAGATGAGGAGAAATAAAAAAAAAAAAACAGATGCCTGTGGTTCCATTCTGAGTTAACCAGCACAGACATTTGAATATGTCCATCCATTCTTTTCAGATATAAAAATATGAATTTATTTCATTAACACAGTGAGATGTGATATACCTTTTACAGCACAAACACAACTGGCAAAAACTATTTTTCAATGTGAACAAAATCAGCAAACTTTTTTAATGCTTTCCATAAAAAATATATTTTTACAGGTGTAAAGCCACTCTTGTGTATGCTAATAAATTATATGAATATATTAAAATAGTAGACATTACAAGCTCAAGTCCTGAAGATCACTTTCTCAATTTTAAAAAATGTAAGGAAAAAATTAAATTTAAAACTTTTTAACATCTAAAACTATATCCAACATTGTACTCCTTGTGGTGGCTTGAGTGAAAATGTCACCCTAGGCTCAGAGGATGTGACACTATTAGGAAATATTGCTTTGTTGGAGGAAGTTGTCACTGAGGGTGAGCTTTGAGGTTTCAGATGCTCAAGACTGACCCAGTGGCACTCTTCCTGCTGCCTGCAGATCTAGATATAGAACTCCTGGATCTTTCCCCAGCACCATGTCTGCCTGTGTGATCTTCTGCAGTGCAATTACTATGGAATACTACTTTATGGTATACTTATAATTTGCAGGCACTAGAACTCTGAACTATAAGCCAGATCCAATGAACGTCTTCCTTATAAGAGTTGCCATGGTCAAGGTGTCTCTACATAGCAATAGAAACCCTAACAAAGATGCACCATACTCCACATTCTTACATACTTTTAATAATTTACCACTGACAGTAAAACTCAGAAGTAATTCATTCTCTTTAAGGAGACATGCTCATCAAAAACCCTTACCTGTAAGATCATCATTTGTTGCATCTATTTCAGATAACTGAGTATAAATTTGGTTTCTGTCTCCTTCTAGGGTTTTTAACGAAGCACTTAACTTCAAAGAAGGAAAAGAAGAAGAAAAGCAATTATCAATTACACAAAAGAAACACACATCCCCAATATACCCCATACTACTGTTCTGCAGTTATTTTCCCTGTGATGATGTTATCATGGACAACATAAAGACATCAGTGCAGCTGCCAAAGCAGCCTTCACCCTATACAATCAGGACTTTTTACACAGATTAACTAAGAACTGACAGAGGGAATAAACCAGAAGAAAACACAGCTATTATTTATTTCTCAAAAGAGTATATAGAACCATTGGAACCAGAAGAAAAGAATGCACATGGGGAATGATTAAATAAAACAATAATATTCTGAAGATATCTTTAATGGAAGAAATGAGTGTACAATTTGAACATTTCTAAATACTATAATTATAAAAATTTCTAAAGTTGATATAAAAAAAGAAATTGATAAGGAAATCCTAGGGGCTGGAGAGATAGTACACTGGCTGCTCTTCCAGTGGACCTGAATTTAAGTCTCTACACGCACATGGCAGCTCACGACTGTCTGTAGCTCCAGTTCCAGGGAATCTCAAACCCTCATAAAAACAAGCATACTGCCAAACCACCAATGCACAGAAAATTAATACATCAAAAGAAAAAGAACATTCTAATCATTTATCATATAACCTTATACAAAAATTAAAGCAATCTTTAAATTAGTTACTAAGGACACACAGATTTCATGTCTGCTGTAGGTCCTGCTCCTTCTCATCTAGATTTTTACATACTAATACAAACCTCAGTAGCATATATTAGCTTCCTCAAAGCTCCCTTAGGCTGATTACCTACAGTGAAAAATAAAACCATACTTAGTGAACACATCCAAATGAATACATTACTTCTTTATCTAGTCTTGCAACCCCTCTTCTGGCCAAAATTAAATAATTTGAGGCTGAGCTTACTTGCTCTTGACTCTAATTCCAACATTTCACAGCTAAGACAAGGGGATTCCCATGAGTATAAGGCCAGCCTGGACTCCAAGGTGAATTCCAGGCCAGCTTGACCTACAGCAAGATGTTGTCTCAGTAAAAAGAGTAATTAAAATAAAATAATAATTTATATAAGGTAGAGTGATCTACACTCAGGAAGATAGACAGTGTACTACAGAGACCCAACAAGAACTGAATATTTACCTAAACAGTGTCCATGGACTTAACTATGCTTAGATTCTTATGGCATTACAGCATCCAGGTTAATTAGTCAACCGTGGCTTCAACACTAAAATTATTAATGAACCATGGCTCCAAGTTAAGTACTATTAAACATAAATAGAATTTATGTTTCTTCTATTATAAAATAAAAATGAAAAATACAAATATTTTATATTACTATACCTTACTATAGTTCCCCTTTTGTTATGGAACTTAAGAGCTGTGTTGTTATAATGGAGAAATATAGGCTATAGAGAAGAACAAAAGAGAAGAAGTCTACAACTCTGAAGAGGTAAAGAAAGATTTACACAAAAGACTAGATAAATAAGGTGGAAAGGGAGTGTGGTATTTCATGAAGATAGACAAAATGTGCCAAGTCTAAGTATATGAGGAGCTCGATACACATGTGGAATGAAGAGGAAACAAGGAGTCAGTCGCCACAAGTCAGTGCACGTTATTCTCTAAGTCATTGTTCACTTCTACATCCAGATTACCATCATCAGTTACATCTTCCCCAAGCACAGAATTCCAGTCTTTCATCCTTAGCAGGCTCTCCATCAGAGACTGGATATTGAGTAAAAAGAGAAAACAAAAAGAGAAGGTAATGACTCATGATAATAGCTTTACAATTTAGAATTTAACTCATCTGAAATTCAATCCTGAGCCAATGAGATGGCTCGGCAGGTAAAAGCATCTGCCACTTAGACTGATAATCTGAGTTTAATCCCCAGAACCCACATGGTAGGAAAATTGCCTCCCAAAATTTGTCTTCTGAACTCCATACCCACATCATGGAATGCACATACCTGACACATACATACACAAGTAAATTTTTAAATATTATAATTTTTTAAATCAATCCCCATAAATAAATCCTTTTGTACCCTAAGTATCTGTCTGCAATTGAGATATGTAAACAGTTGGTTTTATCTTCTAACTCCACATTTAGGGACTATTAATCCTGAAAAACTAACTTGCTGAACATGGTACATCTTTTACCCCACCACTCAGAAGGAATAGGCAGGCAGATCTATGTGAGATGGGAGCCAGCCTGATATAATAAAGTGAGTTCTGGTAAGAAAAAACTACCTCTTGAAACACTGTATGCAAAAATAAATATTATGGATATTATGGTAGGGAGGGATGGAGGAAGGGGAGGTAGTGAGGGAAGGAAGGAATGAAGGAAGGATGAAGAGAAAAAGGAAAAGAAAGAAGAGAAAACAAAATCAAATACAGTGTTTTATAATGGTTCATTCTTGTTAACTACAAAGCAATAAAATATTTTCTTTTGTGTGTATCATACACACATGAGTATGCAGGTGCACATACAGCTGCAAGAGCATGAGGCAAGAAGATGCAAGTGTCTTCTTCCATCATACTCTACCTTACTGCCTGGAGACAGGACCTCTCATGGAATAAGAACTCCACTATCTCAAAAGCATGGCTGCTCAACAGGCTCTAATCTCCACTGTCTCTGTCCCCTGTGCGGGGCTCTCAGGCATGTGCAGCCATGCTCTTCTTATGTGGGTGCTTAGAATTCAAACTCAAGACCTTATGTTTGCAGACCAAGTGCACTAACCCACTAAACCATCTCCCCACTCCCTAAAATATTTTCTTTTAACATTCTTTATATTTTTTACTAATTTACAGTTGGACTGGAGAGATAGCTGAGCAGTTTGGGACTTGTTACTCTACTAAAGCATCTAAGCTCTTTTCCCAGCACCCACATCAGATGGGTAACTTGTAACTCCAGCTCCAGGACATCCAGTGGTCTCTTCTGGCCTCTGTGGGAAGCATGCAGTGGCCAATAACATGTGGAGTGGGATAAATGTTGTGTGGTGTTTCATCTATCTCCGAGACATACAAAAGCTGTAAAAAAGATTCATACAAATCTATGAAAAGTTCATAGACATCTTGGGCACTGCACACAAATGCACATTCCTATACATGGGCACATACAAATACACACCAACTAAAAAATTAACATCTCTGGCTGGAGAGATGGCTCAGCTGTTAAGAGCAGATATTATCTTGACAAAGGCCCAAATTCAATCTCACTACCCATATCTAGCATTTCTCAACTCCCTGTAACCTCAGCTGCAGGGACTACAAACTTTCTGGTTTCTGAGGGCCAAAAAACTCACATGATTATACCCACAAAAAATTAAACTACAGATTCTTGATTTATACAAGGAAGTAACTAGCTGGAGAGTCCAACTGAGACAAACAAAGACACGTTGTAAAATATTTTGAAGGAGTACTGGAAGACCATCAACTGATTTTTCTGCTGCTGTTGATATTTCTTTTTTTTTTTTTTTTTTTTTTTTTTTTTTTTTTTGTGAAATCCGCCTATATGTTCCTGCCACCGGCAAGATCCTTGACCACTAAAGCAGGGCCTCTGCTAAAGAAAGAGGCCTCAGCTGGAGAGTCCCAGTTTCCAGTGAGATCAGACTATCATGCAGAAACTTCCCAAGTTTCAGCTCAGCCTCTGTCCTCCTCCCCCAGCCATTGACTAGAGCCATTGGCTAGTGGCATCTTCTACATTATCCTCAGCCCTGACCCCATCCCTGGGTCCCTGTCTGTGGAGAGACTTCCTATAGAGCTTGGACTACCCAGAGATATAGATATTGACTCACTGACCACAAAATCCCACTGGGGAAGTATCATAGAGAGAGGGGGAGACCCCATCAACACCTACTGGAAGAAGCTATGAGAAGACGGCAATAGAAGAAAACACCTAACAACAGAAAGACAAGCATGAAACCACCAGAATCTAGGGAATCTACAACAACTAGAATGGAACACAACAACAAAGCAGAGGAAGCAGAAGGGAACGACTTAAAAATTTCTGTCATAAAAATGATAGAGGCCCTCAAAGAAGATGTGAGAAAAATCCCTTAAGGAAATGGAGGAAAAAAACAAACAAAAAGTGGAAGAAATGAACAAATTCCTTAAGGAAAGCAAAGAAAGTACTGAAAGACGCCAAAAAAAAAAAAAAAAAAAAAAAAAATTGAGCAGGTGAATGAAATGGTTCAAGACCGAAAACTAAAATAGAGAAAATAAAGGCAACACAAACTGAAGGAATGCTAGAAATAGAAAAACTGGGCAAAAAATCGGGAACTACAGGCACAAGCATAACCAATAGAATTGAAGAGATCGAAGAGAGAATCTCAGGTACAGAAGATAAACTAGAAGAAATAGATTCATCGACCAATGAAAATCATAAATCCAACAAATCCTTAACAAAAAACATACAGGAAATGTTGGACACGGTGAAAAGACCAAACCTAAGAATAATAGGCATAGAGTAAGGTGAGGAAGCACAGCTCAAGATGGTGAAAGCATATTCAACAAAATCATCGAGGACAACTTTCCAAATTTGAAGAAGGACATGCCCATGAAAGTACAAGAAGCATACCGAACCCCAAATAGGCTGGACCAAAGAAAAAAGACCCCTCCATATATAATAATCAAAACACCTAGCATAAAGAATAAAGAATATTAAGCGAAGTGAAGGAAAAAGGACAGGTAACATATAAAGGCAGACCTATCAAAAATACACCTGACTTCTCCATGGAAACCCTCAAGGCCAGAAGATCCTGGATAGATGTTCTTTAATATTAAGAGAACACGAATGCCAGTCTTGGCTACTATATCCAGCAAAACTCTCAATCACTATAGATGGAGAAAACAAGATATGTAATGACAAAACGAGATTTTCCCAAAACTTGTCTATAAATCCAGCCGTACAGAAATTATTGGAAGGTAAACTCCAACCCAAGGAAGGTAACTACGCCCGCAAAAATGTAGACAACAGATAATCCAACTACACCAGAAACCAAGGGTAAAGAAGAACTAATATATTCAAAATACCACTGCCAACAACAAACCTAAATCAAGCAAGCATCAACAATCAATGGTCCTTACTCACTCTCAACATTAATGTCCTTAACGCACCAATAAAAAGACACAGGCTAACAGAATTGATACGAAGACAGAATCCATCCTTCTGCTGCATACAAGAAACACATCTAAGATTCAAAGATAGACATTACCTCAGGGTAAAGGGTTGGGAAAAGATATTTCAATCAAATGGAACCAAGAAGCAAGCAAGCATAGCTATCCTAATATCTAACAAGTTAGACTTCAAACCAAAATTAATCAAACAAGATGAAGACGGTCATTTCATATTCATCGTAGGGGAAATCCATCAACACAAAGTCTCAGTTCTGAACATCTATGCCCATAATACAAAGGCACCAACATTTGAAAAAGAAACGCTACTAAAACTCAAAGTTCATATAACACCTCACACACTTTTAGTGGGAGACTTCAATATACCACTCTCAACACTAGACAGGACCACCAATCAGAAACTCAACACAGAAACAAAAGAACTAACAGAAGTTATGTCTCAACTGGGATTAACAGACATCTATAAAACATTCCATCCAAAGAAAAAAGAATATACTTTCTTCTCTGCTCCACATAGAACCTTCTCTAAAATCAACCACATACTAGGTGACATAACAAACCTCAACAGATACAAGAGAATAGGAATAGTCCCCTGTATCTTATCAGACCACCATGCTTTAAAATTGGAATTCAACAACAACACAAATAGCAGAAAACCTGCAAACTCAAGGAAACTGAACAATGTGCAATTGTACCACTCCTAGGTCAAAGAGGAAATAAACAAAAAAATTAAGGACTTTCTGATATTCAACGAGAATGAGGACACAACATACCCAAACTTATGGGCCACCTTGAAAGCATTGCTACGAGGGATGTTCATTGCACTAAATGCCCATATGAAGAAAACAGAGGATAGTCACATAAGAGAATTAACAGCGCAACTGTAAGCCTTAGAACAGAGAGAAGTGAACTCACCCGTAGAAGTAGATGCCAGGAAATAATCAACTTGATGGCTGAAATCAACAAAATAGAAACCAGGAAAACAATACAAAAAAAAAAAAAAAATCAATGCAACGAAGAGTTGGTTTTCTGAGAAAATCAACAAGATAGACAAACCTTTATCCAAATTAACTAAAAAGCAGAGAGAGAATATGCAAATTAACAAAATCAGAAACGAAAAGTGGAATATAACAACAGAGGAAATGCAGACAATTTTCAGGTCATACTTTGAAAATCTGCATTCCACAAAAATTGAAATTCAAAGGAAATGGTCAAATTTCTGGATAATTATAACTTACCAAAATTAAATTAAGAACAGAAAAACAACTTAAATAGACCTAAAACCTGCAAAGAAATAGAAGCAGTCATCGAAAGCCTTCCAACCAAAAAAAGTCCAGAGCCAGATGGATTCAGTGCAGAATTCTACCAAACACTAAAGGAAGAACTAATACCACTACTCCTCAAACTATTCCACAAAATAGAAACAGAAGGTTCATTGCCAAACTCTGTTTATGAGGCCACAATAACCTTGGTACCCAAGCCTCACAAAGACACAACTAAGAAAGAAAACTACAGACCAATATCCCTGATGAACATCAATGCAAAAATACTCAATAAAATACTGGCAAACTGAATTCAAGAATACATCAGAGAAATCATACTCCGTGACCAAGTAGGCTTCATCCCTGGAATGCAGGATGGTTTATCATACAAAAATCTATCAAGGTGATCCACCATATAAACAAACAGAAAAAGAAAAACCATATGATTAACTCCCTAGATGCTGAAAACTCTTTCTACAAAATTCAACACCCTTTCATTATAAAGGTCTTGGAGAGGTCAGGGATAATAGGAACATACCTAAACATAAGAACCATATACAGCAAACCAACTGCCAACATCAAACTGAATGGAGAGAAACTTAAGCCAATTCCTATAAAATCAAGAAAAAGACAAAGCTGCCCTCTCTTCAATATCGTACTAGATGTTCTAGCTAATGCTACAAGACAACAAAAGCAGATCAACGGGATCCAATTTGAAAAGGAAGAACTCAAACTGTCTCAATTTGCAGATGATATGATAGTTTATATAAGCAACCCAATACACTCTACCAGGGAACTCCTACAGCTGATAAACACCTTCAGAAAATTAGCAGTATACAAGATAAACTCAAAAGAATAACAATAGCCCTACTTTTTTTCAGACGACAAAGAGACAGAGAAAGAAATTGAGAAGCATCACCCTTTACAATAGCCACAAGCAACATAAAGAATCTTGGTGTAATGCTTACCAAACAAATAAAAGACCTATATAACAAGAACATTGTGGCTCTACAGAAAGAAATTAAGAAAGACACCAGAAAATTGAAAGATCTCCCATGCTCTTGAACAGGTGGGATAAACATAGTAAAAATGGCAATCTTACCAAAAGCAATCTACAGATTCAATGCAATCCCCATTTATATCCCCCCACAATTCTTCACTGACCTTGAAATGATAATAATCAAATTTATATGGAAAAACAAAAGACCCAGGATAGCCAAAACAACCATACACAATATAAGAACATCAGGAGGCATCATCATTCCTGATTTTTAACTCTACTACAGAGCTATAGTTCTGAAAACAGCCTGGTATTGGCATAAAAATAGGCAGATCAATGGAATGGAATTGAAAATCCTGATATTAACCCACACACCTAATGAACACCTGATTTTCGTCAAAACAGCTAAAAGTTTACAATGGGGTGCAGACAGCATTTTCAACAAATGGTGCTGGCACAATTGGATGAGGGTGTGTAGAAGACTGCAGATAGAACCATGTCTGTCACAAAACTCAAGCCCAAATTGACCAAAGACCTCAATACAGCCACACTGAACCTCTTAGAAGAGAAAGTAGGAGGTATCCTTGAACATAACTCCATTGGCACAGACCCTGAGAAAAACAATTAATAAGGGACCTCTTCAAACTCAGAAGCTTATGTAAGGCAAAGGACACAGTGGACAAGACCAAATGGCTGCCCACAGAATGGGAAAAGATTTTTCACCAATCCTGTATCCAACAAAGGGCAAATTTTAGAACTCAAGAAACTAGTCAACATAACACCAAATAACCCTATTAAAAAATGGGTTACAGAATGAAGAAAGAATTCTCAACAGAGGAAATCAAAAAGGCTGAAAGACACTTAAGAAAATGTTCCACATCCTTAGCTATCAGGGAAATGCAAATCAAAACATCTTTGACATACCATCTTACTCCTGCCACAATGGATAAATTAGAAACACCAATGATGACTCATGTTGGAGAGGATGTGGAGAAATGGGAACACTCCTCCACTGCTGGTGGGAGTGCAAACTCATACAGCCATTTTGGAGATCAGTATGGCGGTTCCTCAGGAAATGGGAATTAGTTTACCACAGGACCCGGCAATCCCCCTCTTGGGCATATGCCCATATGATCCACATCCACGCAAAAAAGACATCTGTTCAACTATGTTCACGGCAGCACTATTTGTAATAGCAAAAACCTGGAAGCAGCCTAGATGCCCCTCAATTGAAGAATGGTTAATGAAGATGTGGCACATCTACACAATGGAATACTACTATGCAGAAAAAAAATAATGGTATCTTGAAATTCGCAGGCAAGTGGATGGCACTTGAAGAAACCATACTGAATGAGGTAACCCAGTCACAAAAAGAGGAACACAGTATGTACTCACCCATATGTGGATTTTAGACCTAGATCAAAGGATCACCAGCCTATAATTCACACCACCAGAGGAACTAGGATTGAAGGTGTATTCTAAGAGATTCATATAAAGTCCCTTACAGAACTGGGAAGGGACAAGTCCCCCCAGAGCTCAGGTGAAGTGGGGGGGGGCAGCAAATGGAGAGAGAAGTAGGAGAAAACAAGGGGGAGTAAAGGAAAACATGTGCGACCAGGAAGATTGAGCCCGGTTAGGAATAGAAGATGAGAGAGAGAGAGAGAGAGAAAGAGAGACAGAGAGAACATAAAAGATGGAGCCAATAATGGTTTGAAGTTAAATTGAACACAAAGAAACGTCTAGAGAGCTACAAGACTGCTGCCAACTAACAATCTGAGCTTCTGTGGAAAGGCTATCATAAATGCCCTTCCCGAAGAGTGAGATCAACAACAAACTTATCCATGGAGTACTAAACTTGTGCCTGATGGAAACAGGAGCAAACACCCATACATAAACACTGAGTCGAAGTAGAACCCGGATGCAGATGGAGAGGACAAGACCAGGCTGCAGAAACACATAGAGACAGCTTACCTGAACAAGAAGGAGCTAATGGGCCAGCAGACTGATAGCTGGGAAGCCAGCATGGGGCTGACTCAGGCCCTCCTGAATATGCCTCTCAGCCAGAAGGACTGAGCAGTCTAAGGGACCTCAGACAGTGGAGCCAGGATGTATCCCTGGTGCACAAAAGGACCTTGCGAACACATCCCCCATGGAGGGAAAACTGCCTTAACCTAGAGACAGGAGAGAAGCCCTAGTCCCTACTTCACATGACCTGTCAGATCTACATGACCCCAACTGGATGGCATTCCCCTACATATGGAATTAGGGTGGGGTGATAGGAGGGGAGGGTGGATAGAGTGCATGTGAGAGGGCAGAGGGGAGAGGGAACTGGAATGGACATGTAAAATAATAAATTAAATTAAAAAAATGCTTTGACTCCAAAATTTAAGCTCAAGGACAAGTTACTGGGGAAAAGGATTTCTATTTTTGTTTCCACAGAAAATGAAAAGATGTGGATTCCTTCCAGACTAATGTGGTTTGATAAAGCCAGACTGCCTGAAACAGAGTACCAGGTGATCCTACATTCAAAACACCTGGACAAAGCAGCCTTACAGACTACAGCCAGGATTTCTGCATCTTCTTGGAATTACCTTGTCAGAGCCCCTTACCAGCAGGAAGTAGTTTGGAAAGAATGATGCCCAAATTCCCAAATATTGTCTAATGTTTGTTTTCATTTAAATGGAATTGGTTATATAAAATAACAAAAAGGTAAAAATCATTATTTTATTTCTTTATTCATGAACACCAGGCTAAAATACTGGAGAACAAAGACATGGAGTGTTAACATATATATTACAAATCTATGTATGTTCTAGAAGCATTTGAAATGTAACAAAAAGACACAATAGTAAATAAAAGCTGTTAAAATTATTTGAATTTACAATTAAGCATAAAATTGTGACCAACTAGTGACTAAACCCAAGAAGCCATTACCTTGATCTGATTTTCCTTAACCTTTATGAGTTGCTCTGCCTGTACGTTGGATACTTCGATTGCTATTTTCTGTTTATTGAGTTGATTCATTTGTTCTTTCATGACTTTAGCTTCTTCTAAATACTGACAGGAAAACAATAACAACGATGTGAAAGATAGCACAATGTTTAGAAGAATTTTTTCAATATCATTAAAAGATACTAAATGTGTTATTAAATGATATTTAAAAAAGATAGGGTTGCTACTTAAATAGGGACTCAGATGTGGTTCCTTTTTATAAAGAACTTTTAAAGCAGAAGACTATAAAATAAGAAATATTCTTCAATTGATTTACAAGGAAAATTTTAATCAAGTACAGGATTTTGACACATATTTGTATGAAAAATCTAGTCAATTCTTTCTATCTTTGTACCCTAAATACTCTGCTACATCTCATTACTTTTGTTTGATTGTTTGTTTTGTTTTCCCAATAGAGTTTCTCTGTATTGCTTTGGAGCCTGTCCTAGAACCTACTCTGTAGACCAGGCTGGCCTGGAACTCACAGCAGAGATACACCTGCCTCTGCCTCCCAGGTGTTGGAAAAAAGGTATGTGCCACCAATGCCCAGATATATATTCTGCAGATAATCTGAGCCTGAACTGCACTGTGAGTTCCAGTTTAGCCTGGTATACATGGTAGGACTTTGAAGTGAGGATGACTCAGTTTTTATTATAGTAAGGACAATCAACACAGGAGTCCTCACCACAATGTTTTCTAAAACCTGAGATGATAGAACAAAGATGTGAAAGGAGAAGGCATCAACCCCAAAAGAAAATGGACAAACAGAAGGAACACATGTGAGACCAAACAATCCACAGACAATAGAAGAAACATAAGCCAGTTAGAAAATCCTAAAATAAGATGACTTGACACAATCCAGAGAGGCTCATGATTGAAAGCAGTAGTAGTAGAGGGAGGAATGGAAACCAAAAGGGAATAATTAGGGAACTGGAGAGACAGTAGAGTAGTTAAAAGCACATACTGCTCTTGCAGAGGACCCACACTCAATTCCCTGCACCTGCACTGAGTAGCTCACAGATGCCTGTAATTCTATATGATCTAATGTCCTCCTCTAGTCCCTACAAACGCCTGAACATATACACACATACCAACACACAGAAGTATACACATGCTCCTGATATCTCTCCTATTACCTCCCTGTACCTGTCTTCTCTCAAACATGCATATACACATCACATTTTCTGCCACTCATCTCGTTTTTTCTTTTATGCATACATATAGCTGAATGTTTCATCCCTACTGGCAAGCTTCAATAGTGCTGTAAGGTGTTATGCATACAGCAGTCCAAACATATTCATCAATGTCACCTACCTGTGAAGCACACAAGCTGAAATAACAACCCAGCAGCAAGATGTGGCTTATGGTACCACAGTAGCATAAGTGTTATTAAACTAAGCAACCACTTTCTAATTGGATTTAAGGCCAACCAGCTCAATGAGATGAAATGTTGTCCAGCACAGCCATGCACACCTTTCACCTCAGTGCTCAGGAGGCAGATGCAGGTGGAATTCTGTGAGATCAAAGTCATCCAGATCTACATAGGGAGCTCCAGGATAGACAGAATTACTTAGAGAGATTCTTTCTAAAAAAATAAACTGGACCATCCCTGACACTATTAAGGCCTCTAGTCACTACACACAATTACACATATGTATCCACGTGAACAAATGAATACACACACACACACACACACTCAACGAATCAGGTAGTCGTCAATATCATTATATGGAAGGGCTTTAAAGTTAGTCTCTCCAATATTTCTTGGATTGCTATTTGGTCACAGAAGGCCTTACACTCCCTGAGAAGCAGAAAGGGGATAGGGTGGGTTTTGGTGGAGGTTATAGGGGTGAATGGGAACATGAGGGAACTGGGATTGACATGTAAAACAACATATTTTCAAATTTAAATAAAAAGGAAAAAAAACAAAATTTAAATTATCACAATAAATAGTTCTAGTAACCCACAGTTTCAAGAGTTTCCAGAATGTAAGAATCCAACATATTAATGAAACCCTATGTGACACATCATCACACAATCTCAGAGAGCCAAAGACAACAGAAAGATAATGTTTGAGAAGAAAAAAAGGGCAGCAAGCAAAGAAGGTCCCATAATCAACACATCATTCAAGTTTCAAAACCAAACATGGAAAGTAAAGGGAAGACAATGCAGCAATGTCAAAATTTTATTTAAAAAAAAAATGCAGCACAGCAGAAAGATCTCCTGGTTTGAGGCCTGCATGAGATTATAGTGAGTTCCAGTACAGCCAAGACTATTACACAGAGAAACCCTGTCACACTAACAACCAGAAAAGCAGAATCAAAACACCAAGAAGTGCAAATAAGTATCGAAATATCAGAAACATGAAAGAGAACAAGGAGTTAGAGCAATTTCTCAGTGGTTAATACCATGCACTGTTCTCCAAGAGGTCCTGAGTTCAGTTCCCAGCACCTATATCGGGCTCATCACAGCCACTTATAACTCCAAGTACAGGAGATTCAACATCCTTCCCTGGCCTTTCAGAGCACCTTAATCATGAACACAAATGCACACAAATATAACATGCACAAAATTAAAAAAAATAATAATTAATTTTAAAATAAAATCTTTTTTAAAAATGGAAAAATAAGACCTTTACAGCTATGCAATTGCCTTTTAAAATTACCTACTGTACCTTATTATCTGAAAGATAAACAAGTTAATTAATCACAAATGTTCTCTTTTGAAACAGGAAACAGAACATTTAAGATAAGGAAACAAGAATCCTTGGCTGCTGAGTGAACTGTAGTATCAGGACAAAAATGCCCAGTAGATCTATAGAACACATTTTTCTTTTTCTTTCTTTGCTGTTTCTCTTTCCTTCCTTTCTTCCTTCCTTCCTTCCTTCCTTCTTCCTTCTTTCCTTCTTGGAGACATGGTTCCTCTGGCTATCCAGGATCTCATTCTGTAGACCCAGCTGGGCTCAAAGTCACAGAAATCCACCTGCTTCTGTTCACAGTGCTGGGATAAATAGGTATGTGACACCACTGCCACTCATTACACATTCTTATTGGACTAGGAGAATCTAAGATTCCAAGAAAAATGGCCCCCAGAAGAAAATGAAGGAGTCCAAGAATATCTATGGTTATTTCACGAGACCTGAATTTGGTTCCCCTTACAGACCATGTTGGGGATCTGATGCTTGTGGCCTCCAAAGGTACCTGCACTTGTGTGCACATATCTACAATCAAGTTACACACATGCATATAATTAAAATAAAAAATAGTAGAGGAAAAATCTGGCAGTAGGCACACACATAACTTTGAACCCAGCAATTAGGAGACTGAGTACCTCAGTGAGTTCCAGGTCACCCTGAATTTCAATACAAGACACTCTCAATAAAATAACAATAATAGAATTGTAAATGAACAAATTAGCCAAGGTAGTTGAGTGATTGGCATTTCCATTGAGATAGATTACAAATATCCATTACAGGAAGCCAAGTAGTAAAATAAAACGTCGGGCAACTCAGGATATATAGTCAAGTCAGACAGACTACTATTCAAAGATCCATAATACTGTAAGAAGAAAATGTCACACTAGTAATTTGGGAAGATAGTAAAAGCGTTTCCACAAGAGGAAAAGGACAGTATGTCTGTAACAAAGTAAAGGTAAGGACAAACACCATGTCATACCTGTGCACAGTCAAACTCTCACACCACACCCCCACAAACACCCCCATCTCAATATGCACACTATAGAAAGGAAGGAAAAGAGAGACAGCAAGGGAGGGAAAGGAAGGAAGAAAAGAGACAGACGGGAAGGGGCCTGGGACCTGGGAAGACAAACAGATTTATGACAACAGCAGCGAGAGCACGTGTGGGTTAGTGTCTAGGAGAGAGGAGGGTGAGGATAAAAGGTAAGATTTCACTTTACATTACCCAAGAACTCCTCCCTCATCTAGCACCCCAATTGGTAATCTGTTAACTCTTACTGCAGTCTTTATTGTGAGGAATCCTGTTAGCCGATGTCTCCTGTGAGAGTAAAAATTCTGACTGCCTTCTACCAGGGGAGAAGACAGATGGAAGAACACACTTTTAAATCCTTTATGGGAGTCTGCAGGGGAGACTTCCTGCTCTCATAAGCTTACTCATTCACTACACAACTCCACACATGGTTCATTTGTGAGTACCCACAACATCAAAGGCTATATTCATATCTAAAGAAAATATCTGTAGTCTACAAACCTGACGCACGCTTTCCTGACGATGAGAATTTTCATTCAAGGTATCTGTTATTACTCCTTTAAGTCGTTCTTTATTTATTTCAAATATTCTTAGTGTGGTTTTGGCCTAAGTAAGAGAAATGCACCGTTTATAACAATTAAGCTGTAAGCCCCCTGATTATGTCTTTTCTGAAGAACATAAAATGTAAGCAAAAGCCAAAACATTCCACTATTTACAGCAGAGGCAGTATCAACACTACTTTGATAGACAAAGTCATTTGCCACATGACATTGAACAAATTATTGAACCTTCCATGTACAATGCAGACCATTTTGTTAACTACTGAAATAGGAAAGAACAATTATTAGTTACAGAATTATTGGTTTATTTAGCAGCTTACTTAAAACACTGCTTTACTGCCTATTTGCCAAACATGGCTTCACTTGCTACCAGGAAGGGAATAACCTGGAGAAATAGCTGAAAGAATGGGTTGTCACCCTTAGCAACCTGCTACTGCCATGTACACTTCAGAAAAATTTGCTTGCTTGCCTGCCCACTTTGTGATTTTAGAAAAGAAACTCTAACTAGAATTGAAGGCTTTCTGGAGGTCTCAGGAGGACAGTCCACTGGTGACCTCTCTCTTCCATGCTCACTAGTGTAGGAGTAGATATTAGAGAAAGACCCCACACTCCTTACACTTTGTCTCCTGACCTAAACTTTATACAGCAGGAAGCAAATCTATTTATTATCGATACATGTTACACAACTTCAAGAGTGCTCAGATACATTCCTAGGTTAAATATATCTAGAGGAAAATGAACTTCAATCAAAGTAACACATTAAAACAAATGCATATTTAAGATTGGCTACATTTCAAATACTAACAATATTTTATTACCTAATGTGATGGATGTTTGGTTATCAATGATAACTGGAATTAACTAAAACCCAAGGAAGCTGTGAGTACTGTTTCTAAATTAAATAATTTCAAGTGGCAAGACCCACATTTAATCTGGATCTTTTGAGGTGGGAAGATCCACCTATATTCTGGGCTATACCTTCTGGCAGCAGCCTATCTAAAGGACATGGAAGAGGAAGCTTGCTGGTCCTCACCCTCACTGGCATTACAGCCTACTTTTTTGGTATTCCAGTGTATACTGAGTATCAGGTGAGATATCCAGCCTCATGGACTGAGAAAGTGCTGGATTCTTGGACTCTCTGTTGGTAGACTGACATTGCTGGTCTGAGTGAAACACAGCCTAGAAATTGCTTTAATAAATACCCGATAGATAGATAGATAGATATTTAGATAGATAGATAGATAGATAGACAGATAGATAGATAGATAGATGACATCTCATAAGTTCTGTTCCTCTAAAAAACTCTGACAAATATACCTAATAATAATATGAAAACAAATGGTCTTCAGAAGTGACAGACTAATTTATTTCAACTTAACTTACTTCAGCTAGCTGTGATTTGACAGACTGTGATTCATCTGCTAGAAAGGTCACTCATCTGAAAAGACAGTGTCAGTCAGTAAGTATTTAATAAGTCCATTTTGCTCCAAGACAACATGCATTAGTGAGGTACATTGTTAATTTACTGTTAATAAAAGGGAGAGGCCAGATAAGGAGGCCTTGTCAGCTTGCATTCCAAGTGCTCACAAGGATTTTAAAAATTATGTAATCACATGATGTCCTTACAAAAGCAATACATCATAGAACTTTTCAGGTTTAAGGTGAACCCACTAATTCGTATGTTAAATAATCTCACACACATCAAGATTTTGCTTAATCCAGAATTTAAAGTAAAATATATATATATATATATATATATATATATATAAGTTATATATTTTTCACTATGAATATTCAAGTTATATTCTTTAGGGTTACTTCCAACGTAAATATTGAAATTTTCCATTTAAAATAACAAGCGAGCCAAGTGTGGGGGTGCACACTTGTAACCCCAGCTCTTAAGAGGCACAGGCAGGAAGGTCATGAGTTTGAGGCCAGCCTCACTTATACATACAGGACTATATTCTAATACTATGTCAATGAATATAAACAATAAGAAAACAGGAATATGCACAAGCCACTCATCATAACATCTAAAAAGTAAAAGTTTGATGGGAGGTGTTGGCACATGCCTTTAATCCCCGAAAACAGGAGGCAGAGGGAGGTGGATCTTTGTGAGTTCCAGGCCAGCCTGGTCTGCATAGTGAGTTTCACAACAGCCAGAACTATTACATGGAGAAATCCTGTCTTGAAAAAACAAAACATAACAACAAATAAACAAAGGAGGTGAAAAGATCAGATCAGATGTGAAAATTTTTGTTCTCATATTATTCTACATCATTTTTTTTTTTTTGATTTTTCAAGACAGGGTTTTTCTGTGTCACTTTGGAACCTTCCTGGAACTCATTCAGTGGAGCAGGCTGGCCTCAAACTCACAGAGATCTGCCTGCCTCTGCCTCCAGAGTGCTAAGATTAAAGGCATTTGTCAAGAATGCCCAGCCTGCATTCCATTTTTTATATACATGAGTTTCTTTACATTTCAGGGCAGGATAGCTTGGAACTGTTGTTTCTTCCTCCCAAGTGCTGGTATTATAAGTTTGTGCCACTATGGTTGGCTCACATATAATATTTTAATCAATATTTAATTTATAGGTAAGATTCATAATTCTCTTGGAATATATAAGACTCACCAATTCCTCTTCTTCATAATGTTTAGCTCTCTCTTCTTCTAGTTTCTTCTCTATAAGTAATATTTCTTCTTCAAGTTTAGATTTATCTCTTTCTAGATTTTTATAAGTTGCCTAAAATAGAAAGCTAACTTTAACAAGCCAAACATAAGAATTTTTAGTTAGGGTAAAAATCAGATGAGTGTAGGGTAAAAATCAGATGAGTATACTCAAATTTATAAACACTTTATACATTTTTTTCATTTCTTAAATATTAAAATAACAACAGGTTTAACAGTTGCCAGCAACTTCTATAAAAAAAAAAGTGTAAGTATTTTAGGTGCCCACCAGTTAACCACGGAAAACAATGAATACCCACTGAAGGAATTAAAACAGTTGCATTCCAAAAAAAACTTTTATGTAAAAATAAAGAAAAATTAATGAGTTTATTTGGAGTCTAAACTCCCTGCAGATTCTACAAGGGCATTCTAAATCATAAGACACAGACTTGCTACTCAGGACAGAGGATGACAGAACTGACATACTGGACTGAACACATAATCTAAGGGACAAAGTTTTTTTTCTGTTTTATCATTGGTAGGAGCAGGCTACTTCTATTTACTCTACAGGCTCACAACTCAGTTTTAATAACCGTTCCACTTTCAAAGAGTATTGAGGCACTTCATCACATCATACTCTGTCTGTTAAGACAAGTCATTGTGTCCTCTGAATCAGGAGAGTTAACTGTCCATCTCTCCTAAACTCTGCATTCTGTGAAATCATCGTTATGGACTGAAAACTGGCTGTGATGGAGTGTGTAGACAAGGGTTGATGCACAGAAAGGGATTAAATATTTATCACCATGCCACTCTTTACAATGTAAACCTCAATTCTAATTTTAGTAAATATCTACTACCATGGTAAGAAAAAACAATATGGTCACAACTTACTTGTCTGCTACTATGCTTAAATTTGTGAGAGTTCTATGTCTCTTTCCTGGAGCAAACTATGTCAAAAGTAGGAATTGTCTTTCCAATCCATTCACCAGAGTACAGAATGCAGAATTTCTTTCTTTCTATAAATCTATAGCTTCTGATAAACTGATTTTGTATCCCTCAAAACAAGTTAATGACAAGAGATAAAACTGTTATGTTTTAAAATATTTTATGCCACCTACAACTATTCTGTTTCCACTAACTTTTTCTGTACATTGTAAGATCCAGATACAAAATTTCATATTTCTCTGACATAATTATTTTTGAGGAGACAAGATATTTCTAATAAGAATCTTTTCCCTAGCTTTTACATCATACTTTTTTTTTACCTTCAAACTCTGTACTTCTGTTGATGCCTTGTCAAAGTTGGCCTCCTTTAAGGATGACTCTAAGCCTTCATACTGAATAAAACAAGGGAACACATGAGGAAAAAAATACAAATTTTATCTCAACTTGTATCTAAATAGACACCAAAGAAGGAAACAGAATTTATATCCACCATGTAAAGTACCCTTGGATTTTATGAGCTTAGTTTTGCAATCTAAACACTGTGCTGAGGAAAGCCAGGTCTACAAACAAGCCACAACCACCAGCCTAGGCAACATATGGCAGAACGTTTCCTTTGTGACTACCAAAGTTGCCCCACATCTGCTGGGGCTGAAAACCCTAACAGCAAGTGTGACTAAAGTGGATCTAAAGAAGTGAGTCATCTACTATCCCCTGAACAGATTAATGGCTTCTCCAGTCTGTCAGTAGAACAATATGTGGTAACTGGCTATCAGACATTTATATCATGTGATAAATAAGGCAAGTAAGGAAGATAAAATCTGTGAGTTTCAGACCACCCTGGTCTACAGAGTGAGTTTCAGGACAGCCAGTGATGCACAGAGAAACCCTGTCTCAGCACCTCAGAATTTGTGTTATTTAGAGACAAAGCCTTTAAATACAGCTAGGTTAAAATGAGGGATTTAAGATGACTGCAATGTAATATGGCTGGTATCCTATGTGGAGAGCACTAGGACAGAGAGAGACATAACAAGCAGACAGCAATATCTAAAGTCAAGGGACATGTCACAGAGGAAGCAAAGCCTGGCTATATCTTCATGGACTCATTTCAAGAACTGTAAGGAAATTCACTTCTGCTGCTAAAGGTATTTTGTCACAGTAGCCCTAGCATGCCCAAATGAAAACAGTAAATAAAGTCTCTACATGATAACAAGTAAAAGTACCTTTACATCCTTGATAAGCAAAAAAAAAAAAAAAAAAAAAAAATCTCATGAAACATTACACTACATTAAATTGTAATTCAAATCCTCTACCTTCTAAGACACTGAACAAAACAGAAATGTAAGCCACAGAGTAGAAGAGATTTACAATCCATATATCTGACAAAACTCTTTCTTATATACGACATAAAATAGTAAAAGCAAAGGCCCTAATCTATATGGCATAAACTGAGAAAGATTATGAGTGCATTTAAAAGGATGGAAATGGGCAAGTGTGATGGCTCAGTAAGTAGTTAAGGAGCTTGTTGCCAAGACTGATAACCTGAGTTCAATCCTAGGGACCCACGTAATAAAAAGAGGAAAGTGACTCCTCCATGTCCTATGAATCCTTTGATCACCACACAAATGCCTTCTTGGTACACGCCTACACACATAGACACAAATAGACACACACAATAAAAATAAAGTCATCTTTTAACGTGGAAAAGACTTAAAAGGCAATTTTACAATATCTAAATGAGCAATAAGCAAATCAAGGTGATCTGACTAATTAGTCAGGGAAGGTAAACACTACACATCACCAGGGTGGCTGCAAAGAGAATGGCTAAGTGATGAAGTTGAGCAGCAACAGAGCTCTGGTCTGAAACAAAGCTCTGATGGCAGGCAATAACCCATGGAGAACAATTAAGTTCCACACTGTGATGGATTGTATTTTCAAACACATCTTACCTCCTCTTGAGCAAGGCACACTTTGTCAATTAGATCACATTTCTTTTTGATTTCCATTGCAAGTTCCACAGCCAGTCTATTCTCTCTTACTGAGCAAGCAAAGAAAAGATTATTATGACTAAAGTGTGAAAACGCTTTAAATTATATACAATCACAAGATCTAAAATCAAAATAGACTACTCACTCAAATAAAGTCGGCTTTGAATCTGAAACAAAAATTTAACAAAATTACATTAAAACAAATATATCTTCAAGCAAATCTATCTGACTTCTACTTCCAGCTTTAAGATGCCAACTTTCTTATGGCCTTATGGTAAATAAATTACCCGAAAGCCTTCTATTTCAAATGAAAACAATGCTATATAGTAAGGTCTCCCATTGTGTGGTATCATGTGTGTTATCATATTAAAGGTTCTGAAACAGTTTTATTCTAAAGAAAACTGTATAATTCCACTTAACTCCATGTTTCCCATGCATATATTGGCTCTAAAACAAAGTATTTTAAGGAGCCACCATTATTAAATCTCCTACGGTTAATAATCAAAATAAAAATATATGAAATATCATTGGACTCTAGACCTTGACTGACTAAAAAAACTCATTAGTATTTTTCTTCTTCATACTTCAGCTTTCGATAAGGAAGGGATAAATCCACCCTTGAGAACAGTGGGGATAGGGTAAAGTGATCAAGGGACGCAAACAAGAACACTCATGCCACCTAGAAAACAGAGACAGAAAACTGGAAGAAAAAAAAAATGACAAAAAAACAGTAGGATATATGTAAGCAGAAGGTAAGGAAGAAAAAACCATGAAGATATTAGAAATGAAGTCAGTCAGAAGCACAAAGGCCAACATCTAAAAAGAAGTCTCAGAAAGAAAAGGATATGTTATGACTCCCTCCTTAAAAACAGTTAGCATAGGAAAAAGCAATATAGGATCCATAGGAAAAAGCAATATAGGATCCAGGAGAGCCATGAAAGTGGCGATTTTTACTCTTAGTTGGGAAGTAGATACACCTGCAAACTTTTTAATATTGTTAAAAACAAACACAGACACCCCAAATTTAAAGAAGAAAAGGGAAAGAAAGAAAGTTGGGGCTTTAGTACTAGTGTGTAGTATCCCTACAATAAAATCCTTTAAAATACACTTACATAAAAATATTTCTGTTAATCTCTGTTCAGTTTTTAAAAACCACCTGTTAGCATAACGCAGAACACTAAGACCTAACTCATTTCCCTGAAATAACAAGTTTCTCCAATTAGATGTTCAATCTAAACACAAAATGAAGGTTAGAGAGAAATGGCTCAGAACATTTGTTAGTCTTGTAGAGGACCAAGATTCAAATACCATCATCGACATTATAGCTCACAGTCATCAGTAATTCCAGCTCCAGGGCATCCAACAATGGCCCACTAATCACTTCTGTAGACCAGGAACACATACCACACACACATGCATACTAGCAAAACAGTCATACACATAAAAGGAAATAAATTTAAAAAACAAAAACAAAAAACTTAGAATGACCATTCACTTACTATAAGTAGTTACTTACTGATCGGTATCCTCTCCAAAGAAATAAGAAAATGGTAAGCAGTCCAATGGCAACCACACATATCAGCGATTCTAATGATGGCTCACTAGGATCAAAGCTTGTTGTCATATCTTCAGGCACTGCTGCCACAACCTTCAAGACAAAGAAAATAAACTTATAAGCATGCTTCTTCAACAGTACTGGTACAAAGACAGGCACAGGTGGCTGTGGCCAACTCTATTCTTATTGAATGGGCTACCATAAAATACAAAGCAGAATGCCTCCAAACATGTTTCTAGTAAATTACAATTGTTCTTATTGAGGGGCTAAGTGTGGTGAAACAGTAGTTTTCAAACAGAAGTTATGGGGAGATTCCACAGAGCATAACTCCAGGAGAGTTAAAGGATAAGGATATAGTATCAAGAAAAGAACATTATGGAATATTTTATATGTGTTTCATTCTTTTATGTTGCATTTGTTTAACTCTGTAAAGCTGCATTACTTTGCCAGTCTAAAACACCTGATTGGCCTAATGAATAGCTGAACAGACCAATAGCTAGGCAGGAAAAATAGGCAGGGCTGGCTGGCATGCAGAGAGAATAAATAGGAGGAGAGACCTAGAGAAGATCCAGGGACAAGAGGAGGAGGACACCAAGGGCACCAGTCACAGAGTAAGAAGGAAAGCAAGGCACATAGAATAAATAAAGGGAAAAGAGCTCAGAGGCAACACATAAAGAGAAATGGGATAATTTAATTTAGAAAAGCTGGCTAGAAACAGCTGAGATAAGGCCAGCCATTCGTAAGTAAGAATAAATCTCGATGTATTTATTTAGGAGATGGGTGAGGGACACCGTCCCTACCAAAGATTTTTAAAATCCAGTAAAAAAAAAAAAGTATCAATGATCTGGGTTGGGTTCTTTTCCCTGAGTTCAAGTTCATGATTTATCCATATGCACTGGGTTTGAAAAAACATTTCCTGCAGAGGAAAAACACTGATCTGCAGCTTGTCCTCTGAGGAAGGGAGAGTGATAAGAAACTACTGACAGAGCTTCAGAGTTGGGATTTAAACCCTTCCTTCCTGTCTCTTGAGTTAAATTAATGCAGTTTGAGCCCAAAAAAGAAAATGGTTCTTTCAAAAACAACCCTAGAAATGATGGGCTTGACTCTTTCCAGGCATCAACATACACCATCTAGAAACTACACAGCTGTCTTCTCCTTGCGGTCTGACAAAATGAACAACAAATCCTTAGATAATTACTATCTATAAAACCTGTTTTATGCTAGTACATGACAAGGACCTTTTACAAGCTGCTATCTACAGCTTATTAACTTCTACCACTTCCACAAAAAATACATGCAATAGTATCCTCTTTTTTTATTCCCTGTATCTTTATTTTCCTTTTTACATCTGTGACTCCAGAAAGGATCCAAAGTGTAGGTGCACAGCCTCTGCTCTGGGTTTCATGGAGAGTTCCTTTAACCTTGTGTTTTGGATCCTTAAGGTACAGGACTGACCTTACAAGGGCTCAGAAAAGGGTTGAAAATATTTTATCCTGGTCCTCTCTCTCTTTCTCACCTGAGCCACATACAAAAAAGTGTGATATCATGTTGCAAGGCAATGATAACAACGATTTGCCTCTAGGATCACAAGAATAGATATTCAGGCACGGCAAATATTTCCATTATCTCACTCCAGAGACTATGAATGTATATCCAAGCCCTCCACATACCCTCTAAAATATTCTTCCACACCTCACAGAGTAAGGCCTGCAGTTAATTGCATGTTTTACCTCTTCCTGAATCCATCTTCCCTCAGTGGGTTATTCTAGTCTTTATCACCAGGCCCCAATACTAACTGATCATAAACAAGTAGACTCCTCTGATAGCAGATAAAAAAGACTAAGACTAAAACTGTTACTAGAAACAAAGATGTGATGGAAAAGGCTAGCTCAATCTTTAAGATGTAGGATTTTATGCAAGAGAACAATAAAATGAAGTAAATCTGTTGAAGTAAGGATAAAAAAACCGTTCATCAACAGTAGTTAGTTATTTTTAGATCTCACTTTCAGTGAGTCAGCATGAAAAGACAACACGGTAAAAACACTACAAATAAGTTAGACTATCATACTAGCAAAATACTATGTAATAATAGCAGAAAATACATTCACTCTCAAATGTTCATGGAAGATTCTTCAGAAAAAATCCAGGCATTAAGCTAAAACACACCTCAATGTTTTCTTTGTTTTTTGTTTTGTTTCTTTAAATAATCAAACCACATGGCCAAGCCCAGAGAAATGGCTCAGCAGCTGAAAACATTTGCTGCTCTTGCAGAGGAGCCCCAGACTTCAGTTCCCAGAATCCATGTCAAGAAGTCCCTAAGTGCCTGCCCATGACTCCAGCTCTGTGAGATCTGATGCCCTCTTGCTGCTTCCTTGGGCAGCTGAAGCTACAAGCACATACACACACATACACATAGTTTAAAATAGTAAAAATTCAATTAAAAAATTCCCATGTCGAGAAGCATCTTCTCTGATTACAACGGGTTAAAATTAGTTATCAAAAAAACAGGAAGGGCTGGAGAGAGAGCTCAGCAGTTAAGAGCATTTGTCATTCTTGTAGATAAATGACCCATGTTTGTTTACCAGGATCCACTTGGTGGCTCACCACTATCTATGACTCCATTTCCAGGGAAATATGTCACCCTTTAAGGCATCTTTAAGCACAGCAAACATGTGACGCATGGACATACATGCAAGAGCAAAACATCCATGAACATATAAGTTTTTTTTTAAAAAAAAAAATAATAAAATGCAACATAAACTTACACAAAACAACTAATGTAGTGTGTAACAGGAAAATTTATAGTCATAAAAGACTTTGTAAAAAAAATATGTGGGGGCAGGGGCTGGAGAGATCTCACAATGGTTAAAAACATTAGCTAGTTGTCAAGAGGTTCTGAGTTCAGTTCCTAGCATCCACATGGTAGCTCACAACCATCTGCAATGAGGTGCCCTCTTCTGGCCTGCAGGGATATAAGGAGACAGAACACACTATATATAATAAATAAATCCAAATAAAAATTTTAAATATTATTGGGCCAGGAAGATAGCTCAGCAGGTAAAAACTTTGCCACCAATCCTCAGGACCTGTGTTTGACCCCCATCACCAATGTGGTAGAAGGAAAAAACCGACTCTTGGGGCTTTGGATTTACACACACACACACACACACACACACACACACACACACACACACACACCATATATACACAGAAAGGAATGTAATGCTCAGTTAAAAAAATCAATGTCATAATCCACAGTAAAAGAAATGAAGAAAAAGAAGATCTCAACAGATAGTAATAAAACATGTAAGAAAATCGACCGTCTAATCATCAGGAGACTGCAAACTAGGACTACTTTTCTCAATCTGACAAACAGCACCAATAGAAGACTCATAGCTAACACCATCCTGAAGGGGAGAGAATTGTTCCCTTACAAAATGCAACACACATCCACACAGCCCACTGAACCAAAGAAAATCCAGCCAAGTCTGCAAAATCTCTCCGTGTTCCTCACCCCCAACCTTATCAAAAATAAGTGTTGGTAACTGCTAGGTGCCTGTGTATTTTATGTGAAAAGCCAGAGGCTGCTGTTGTAATGTCTTCCTTCTCTACCTCAATTTTTCTAAGGCAGAGTCTCTCACTGAATCTAGAGCTCACACATTCTCTGATAAACTGATGACCAGTGAACCTGGGATTCCTCTATTCATACCTCCACCCAGCATATACATTGCCTTAAGGGCTCCAACTCCAGATCATGGCAAGCACTTTCCTTTCCGCACTGAGTCATATCCCTAGGCCCTAATTGTGGATTCTGAGGGAGATGTGTGTGATCTGAAATCATCTCTCATCTACAATATGCTTCTCTTCCCATAAGCCCCATCTCAGTAACTTAGCTGACACAGCCAGGAACTTTGGACTATTCCAGATTCTTCACACATCCCACCCCTCTCTGCAGCTAATCAAGAAAGTCACACTCATTTTAGCTCTTATTTCTTCTTGCCCCATTTAGGACCAACTTCTCTATCCTTATCCCTATCAATTCTCCTTCCTGTGTTTTTCCCCTGACATTTGATTCTCATACTATCAGGAATATCTATACATTTTTCTATGGGTCTCACCACTGATGAGCCTGTGCTGGATCTCACACCGCACAGCAATCCTTGAGACCCACTGGTCTACAGTGAGCATCATGTCACATCAGGCCCTTGGCTCACTTATGCTGTGAGCTCCTGTGTATGCTGTTTTCACACCTCATCTACTGAAACTTATTTGCTCAGTCTAAAGACTTTGCCAGCAACCCAAGGAAAAACAATCACTCCCTTCCCTTATTTTGCATGTGTACTTCTATAGGCAATAGACTTCAACTGTGGATTAATTTTGTGTATTTTCTCCCCAAACAGCCAACATGATGAAAATGACCAAAATCCTTATTTCATTTAGAACCTCCATAGAGCATTTTTATTCATGGGCAAATGAACCATGAGCATGGCACTACTTACTTTAAATTCACAGAACATGAAGATAATTAGAACTGGCAGCATCTCAAAAATCCTCCATGGGCACACCATGGTGGCAGTACGAGGCACCGCCATCCCTGTGCCCACGATGGGGGGCCTTGCAGCTGGACAGATGGACAGCAGCAGAGCAGAGCACAGTCAGTGGGACACTGGGAAAGGGAAGGCTTTTGGGGCCGGCTGGCACCACTGCCCTCTCCACCTCCTTATCTCAGTTGACGCGTCAACGCTGGCACTCTGACCTCCAGCACCAGAGTCCTGGAGAGCTGGAGCAAGAAAACCTAAAGCACCCAGTGTGGGGCTGCAGGCCTACACTCCGAGGCCTGGGGCACAGCCCCGGAGTGAAAGCTCAGCCCCCTATCCCCAGCTACTATCGCACTCTGTCCTATCAAGTCAATAAAAAAAAAAAAAAAAAAAAAAAAAAACACTCTCCTATGGAACACTAAAGGCTGAAGCACCAAGTTTGGGGCTACAGCCCTACACTCCGAGGGCTGGCACAGCCCCAGAGTGAAAGCTCAGCCCCCAAGTTACAGCTACTATCACGCTCTGTCCTATCCTCTCCAGTCCAAAAGC